AGTTCTAGTTCAGTTCTAGTTCAGTTCTAGTTCAGTTCTAGTTCAGTTCTAGTTCAGTTCTAGTTCAGTTCTAGTTCAGTTCTAGTTCAGTTCTAGTTCAGTTCTAGTTCAGTTCTAGTTCAGTTCTAGTTCAGTTCTAGTTCAGTTCTAGTTCAGTTCTAGTTCAGTTCTAGTTCAGTTCTAGTTCAGTTCTAGTTCAGTTCTAGTTCAGTTCTAGTTCAGTTCTAGTTCAGTTCTAGTTCAGTTCTAGTTCAGTTCTAGTTCAGTTCTAGTTCAGTTCTAGTTCAGTTCTAGTTCAGTTAGTTCAGTTCTAGTTCAGTTCAGTTCTAGTTTAGTTCTAGTTCAGTTCTAGTTCAGTTCTAGTTCAGTTCTAGTTCAGTTCTAGTTCAGTTCTAGTTCAGTTCTAGTTCAGTTCTAGTTCAGTTCTAGTTCAGTTCTAGTTCAGTTCTAGTTCAGTTCTAGTTCAGTTCTAGTTCAGTTCTAGTTCAGTTCTAGTTCAGTTCTAGTTCAGTTCTAGTTTAGTTCTAGTTCAGTTCTAATTCAGTTCTAGTTCGGTTCTAGTTTTGCCCCAGTTATGTTCTAGTTCTATTCTATTTCTGTTCTAGTTCTGTTCTAGTTCTGTTCTAGTTCTGTTCTAGTTCTGTTCTAGTTCTGTTCTAGTTCTGTTCTAGTTCTGTTCTAGTTCTGTTCTAGTTCTGTTCTAGTTCTGTTCTAGTTCTGTTCTAGTTCTGTTCTAGTTTGTTCTAGTTCTGTTCTAGTTCTGTTCTAGTTCTGTTCTAGTTCTGTTCTAGTTCTGTTCTAGTTCTGTTCTAGTTCTAGTTCTAGTTCTAGTTCTGTTCTAGTTCTGTTCTAGTTCTGTTCTAGTTCTGTTCTAGTTCTGTTCTAGTTCTGTTCTAGTTCTGTTCTAGTTCTGTTCTAGTTCTGTTCTAGTTCTGTTCTAGTTCTGTTCTAGTTCTGTTCTAGTTCTGTTCTAGTTCTGTTCTAGTTCTGTTCTAGTTCTGTTCTAGTTCTGTTCTAGTTCTGTTCTAGTTCTGTTCTAGTTCTGTTCTAGTTCTGTTCTAGTTCTGTTCTAGTTCTGTTCTAGTTCTGTTCTAGTTCTGTTCTAGTTCTGTTCTAGTTCTGTTCTAGTTCTGTTCTAGTTCTGTTCTAGTTCTGTTCTAGTTCTGTTCTAGTTCTGTTCTAGTTCTGTTCTAGTTCTGTTCTAGTTCTGTTCTAGTTCTGTTCTAGTTCTGTTCTAGTTCTGTTCTAGTTCTGTTCTAGTTCTGTTCTAGTTCTGTTCTAGTTCTGTTCTAGTTCTGTTCTAGTTCTGTTCTAGTTCTGTTCTAGTTCTGTTCTAGTTCTGTTCTAGTTCTGTTCTAGTTCTGTTCTAGTTCTGTTGTAGTTCTGCTCTAGTTCTGTTCTAGTTCTGTTCTAGTTCTAGTTCTTTTCTTGTTTTTTCTATTTCTGTTCTAGTTCTGTTCTAGTTCTGTTCTAGTTCTGTTCTAGTTATGTTCTACTTCTGTTCTAGTTCTGTTCTAGTTCTGTTCTATTTCTGTTCTAGTTCTGTTCTAGTTCTGTTCTAGTTCTGTTCTAGTTCTGTTCTAGTTCTGTTCTAGTTATGTTCTAGTTCTGTTCTAGTTCTGTTCTAGTTCTGTTCTAGTTCTGTTCTAGTTCTGTTCTAGTTCTGTTCTAGTTCTGTTCTAGTTCTGTTCTAGTTCTGTTCCAGTTCAGTTCTAGTTCTGTTCTATTTCTGTTCTAGTTCTGTTCTAATTCTGTTCTAGTTCAATTCTAGTTCTAGTTCTGTTCTAGTTCTGTTCTGTTCTATTCTAGTTCTGTTCTAGTTTTATTCTACCTCTGTTATAGTTCTGTTCTACTTCTGTTATAGTTCATGCTATAAGGTACTGGTAACTCTATTACTTCTGTAGGGTATCTCTGAAAAAAAGTAATGTATTTATGTTTTTATATTTGTTTTATTCCATGGTGATAATACGTGTTAATATCACATATAAACAATACATACTAACTATTTATAAATGCATTATTACGATTATACTTTTTTCAGTAAAGTGCTGAGTTTTATTATCCATTATTTACTAATTGTTTACAAGTGCGAGCAGCTAACAGTTAAAAATTGAAATCAATCAATAATCTATTAAATATGCTAAAAATATTTCAAGGAGTAGTAGTAAATATATACAAGCATTCAAAACACTGAAAGAAATCTTGAGGCAGAAAATTGCACTTGTCCTCCAAGGTCTATCTTCAATACAAGAAAAATTGGCTCCATATTTTTAATATAATCAAATTTGTAAAATTGTATATATTTATAATTCTTTTAAACACTCTTTAGAAGTGCTTAACAAAATTTTTTAAGTGTTGTTTTCTATACAATTTGTGAAAGCGTGGAGCCACACATTACAATATAAGATCTTGTACACTTTATTATTTCTAATCAAATATAAGTATATTGACCACTAACTTGGTAAATCCAAATTACAAAGAATGATTACAGAATTTCGCCTTTTTAATTATTTATTTATTCGTTTTTCATCAATATAACAACAGATGCTTAATTGTTGATGTATATTTATATTTTTATTAGTTTAGTATTAATGGATATTGGATTTAAAATTGCTTTTTGATTTATTTTAAATCTTAACATATTAAATAAATATTAAATATAAAGCTAAGTATTTCGCAGTTAATATCTAATTTGATTTTAAATAAAAAAGTATGTTATTTGACGACATGAGTTGCAGATAAAATATTAAGACCTAAACGATAACTGCTTAGTACAGCAGCACCAAGCCTTCTTGGCTCCACATTATCGACAAGTTCTGTTATAGTATAGTTGTAGATCAGTTCTAGTTCAGTTCTAGTTCAGTTCTAGTTCAGTTCTAGTTCAGTTCTAGTTCAGTTCTAGTTCAGTTCTAGTTCAGTTCTAGTTCAGTTCTAGTTCAGTTCTAGTTCTAGTTCAGTTCTAGTTCAGTTCTAGTTCAGTTCTAGTTCAGTTCTAGTTCAGTTCTAGTTCAGTTCTAGTTCAGTTCTAGTTCAGTTCTAGTTCAGTTCTAGTTCATTTCTAGTTCAGTTCTAGTTCAGTTCTAGTTCAGTTCTAGTTCAGTTCTAGTTCAGTTCTAGTTCAGTTCTAGTTCAGTTCTAGTTCAGTTCTAGTTCAGTTCTAGTTCTAGTTCAGTTCTAGTTCAGTTCTAGTTCAGTTCTAGTTCAGTTCTAGTTCAGTTCTAGTTCAGTTCTAGTTCAGTTCTAGTTCAGTTCTAGTTCAGTTCTAGTTCAGTTCTAGTTCAGTTCTAGTTCAGTTCTAGTTCAGTTCTAGTTCAGTTCTAGTTCAGTTCTAGTTCAGTTCTAGTTCAGTTCTAGTTCAGTTCTAGTTCAGTTCTAGTTCAGTTCTAGTTCAGTTCTAGTTCAGTAGTTAAGTTCTAGTTCAGTTCTAGTTCAGTTCTAGTTCAGTTCTAGTTCAGTTCTAGTTCAGTTCTAGTTCAGTTCTAGTTCAGTTCTAGTTCAGTTCTAGTTCAATTCTAGTTCTAGTTCAGTTTTAGTTCAGTTCTAGTTCAGTTCTAGTTCAGTTTTAGTTCAGTTGTAGTTCAGTTGTAGTTCAGTTCTAGTTCAGTTCTAGTTCAGTTCTAGTTCAGTTCTAGTTCAGTTCTAGTTCAGTTCTAGTTCAGTTCTAATTCAGTTTAATTCAGTTCTAGTTCAGTTCTAGTTCAGTTCAAGTTCAGTTCTAGTTTTAGTTCAGTTCTAGTTTTAGTTCAGCTCTAGTTCAGTTCTAGTTTAGTTCTAGTTCAGTTCTAGTTCAGTTCTAGTTCTCTTCTAGTTCAATTCTAGTTCTAGTTCAGTTCTAGTTCAGTTCTAGTTCAGTTCTAGTTCAGTTCTAGTTCAGTTCTAGTTCAGTTCTAGTTCAGTTCTAGTTCAGTTCTAGTTCAGTTCTAGTTCAGTTCTAGTTCAGTTCTAGTTCAGTTCTAGTTCAGTTCTAGTTCAGTTCTAGTTCAGTTCTAGTTCAGTTCTAGTTCAGTTCTAGTTCAGTTCTAGTTCAGTTCTAGTTCAGTTCTAGTACAGTTCTAGTTCAGTTCTAGTTCAGTTCTAGTTCAGTTCTAGTTCAGTTCAGTTCGTTCTAGTTCAGTTCTAGTTCAGTTCTAGTTCAGTTCTAGTTCAGTTCTAGTTCAGTTCTAGTTCAGTTCTAGTTCAGTTCTAGTTCAGTTCTAGTTCAGTTCTAGTTCAGTTCTAGTTCAGTTCTAGTTCAGTTCTAGTTCAGTTCTAGTTCAGTTCTAGTTCAGTTCTAGTTCAGTTCTAGTTCAGTTCTAATTCAGTTCTAGTTCAGTTCTAGTTCAGTTCTAGTTCAGTTCTAGTTCAGTTCTAGTTCAGTTCTAGTTCAGTTCTAGTTCAGTTCTAGTTCAGTTCTAGTTCAGTTCTAGTTCAGTTCTAGTTCAGTTCTAGTTCAGTTCTAGTTCAGTTCTAGTTCAGTTCTAGTTCAGTTCTAGTTCAGTTCTAGTTCAGTTCTAGTTCAGTTCTAGTTCAGTTCTAGTTCAGTTCTAGTTCAGTTCTAGTTCAGTTCTAGTTCAGTTCTAGTTCAGTTCTAGTTCAGTTCTAGTTCAGTTCTAGTTCAGTTCTAGTTCAGTTCTAGTTCAGTTTTAGTTCAGTTCTAGTTCAGTTCTAGTTCAGTTCTAGTTCAGTTCTAGTTCAGTTCTAGTTCAGTTCTAGTTCAGTTCTAGTTCAGTTCTATTTCAGTTCTAGTTCAGTTCTAGTTCAGTTCTAGTTCAGTTCTAGTTCAGTTCTAGTTCTACTATGCTTTCTAGTTTTGTTCGATTTATGTTTTAATACTTTTCAAATTTTATTGACCAATTTCATATAAAAATTTATAAAATTCGTTTTGATTTCAATTATGCAAATTAAAATAACTACGATCTAAATTGAATATTAATCAAAACTTGATTTATTTAAAAAACTTTGCAAACCAAAAAAAAAAAACTTTTTGAAATTTTCATATACATTTTTTAGATACCTATTTATAATTTTTAGCTACAACTGCCGATTAAAACGATATTTTCTTAAAATATTTTAAAAATTAATTTACAATTCTGTGCTAATGCTGTTGCTGCTGCTAATGAAGTGTTAATAAAAATCTACGTTTTCTTGAACTAAAATAATACAAAAAAAACACAATTATTAAAAATCAAATAAAAGCACTTGAAAATCCAGAAAATAACAACAAATAACTAGACTATTATACAAAAAAAAATAAAATTTATTTAATACATAAATATATAAGCAAATAAACTAAAGATTTTAATATTGAGGAATAAAGAAAATTTTCAAACTGACTTCTGACAGTTACAAAATGACAGCGAACAATAAAGTTGAAAGATTATAACTAAATATAATAATAAATAAAAAATAAGAAAAAAAAACGTTAAATTAAAAAAATAAAACGAACGTAATATAAACAAAAAATTAAAATAAAATATTAAAATATAAACATAAACAAGAAAAAGTATTAAGAAAATAAAAACATGTCCGATTTACAAATCTTAAGCAATCAAACGACAACCACCTCCGATCGTTTTGAAATTCAAAATTTCGATTTAATACAAAACTATTCGGTGTTAATCAATAATTAGAACAGTTGGCATTGGGGTGTTGATGCCACACTCGATAATATCGCCGTGGATCATAAAGCTGTCGAATTGACTTTGGGCAAGGGTGATCTGTTGACAGATTCCATTGCTGCCAGTCGTGCCGGTCCCCACACGTCACTTAGCTCATGGCCTAGAGGAAGTGGAATATTCGCGTGTGGTTAGTGATATTTGGATAGGTGTGATCTTAACTTTGCTCATAGTGTCTGTGATATTTTTTATTTGCGCCTGTTTTTTGTATCACAAATTTCAACAGTGGAAAAATTCATGTAAGTGTATATGATTTATAAAAAAAATGTTTGAAAAGTATTCTTAGTATTTTTAAGCAAATTTGGAAGTTTTAAAAAAAAATTTTCAAAAATTGTTTAGGGTTTTTTTAAATTTTTGAAAATATAACAAAATTAATATTAATCATACGCCACGGAGGTATAAATAAAATAAAATTCTTAAGAAAATGTAGCTAATTTCACAAAAACTAAAGAATTGTTTAGCATTTTTGAAAATGTTATAAAAGAATTAATATTCTGTTATAGTTCTGGTTCCGTTCTAGTTCTGTTCTAGTTCTGTTCTAGTTCTGTTCTAGTTCTGTTCTAGTGTTCTAGTTCTGTTCTAGTTCTGTTCTAGTTCTGTTCTAGTTCTGTTCTAGTTCTGTTCTAGTTCTGTTCTAGTTCTGTTCTAGTTCTGTTCTAGTTCTGTTCTAGTTCTGTTCTAGTTCTGTTCTAGGTTCTGTTCTAGTTCTGTTCTAGTTCTGTTCTAGTTCTGTTCTAGTTCTGTTCTAGTTCTGGTTCTAGTTCTGTTCTAGTTCTGTTCTAGTTCTGTTCTAGTTCTGTTTCGAGTTCTGTTCTAGTTCTGTTCTAGTTCTGTTCTTGGTTTTGTTCTAGTTCTGGTCTAGTTCTGTTCTAGTTCCTGTTCTAGTTCTGTTCTAGTTTCTGTTCTTAGTTCTGTTCTAGTTCTGTTCTAGGTTCTGTTCTAGTTCTGTTCTAGTTCTGTTCTAGTTCGGTTCTAGTTCTGTTCTAGTTCTGTTTATTCTGTTAGTTCTGTTCTAGTTCGTTCTGTTTCTAGTTCTGTTAGTTTCTAGTTCTGTTTCTAGTTCTGTTCTAGTTCTGTTCTAGTTCTGTTCTAGTTCTGTTCTAGTTCTGTTCTAGTTCTGTTCTAGTTCTGTTCTAGTTCTGTTCTAGTTCTGTTTCTAGTGTCTGTTCTAGTGCTGTTCTAGTTCTGTTCTAGTCTGTTCTAGTTCTGTTTCTAGTTCTGTTCTAGTTCTGTTCTAGTTCGTTCTAGTTCTGTTCTAGTTCTGTTCTAGTTCTGTTCTAGTTCTGTTCTAGTTCTGTTCTAGTTCTGTTCTAGTTCTAGTTCTGTTCTAGTTCTGTTCTAGTTCTGTTCTAGTTCTGTTCTAGTTCTGTTCTAGTTCTGTTCTAGTTCTGTTCTAGTTCTGTTCTAGTTCTGTTCTTGTTCTGTTCTAGTTCTGATCTAGTTCTGTTCTAGTTCTGTTCTAGTTTCTGTCTAGCTCTGTCTAGTTATGTTCTAGTTCTGTTCTAGTTCTGTTCTAGTTCTGTTCTAGTTCTAGTTCTAGTTCTGTTCTAGTTCTGTTCTAGTTCTGTTCTAGTTCTGTTCTAGTTCTGTTCTAGTTCTGTTCTAGTTTCTGTTCTAGTTCTGTTCTAGTTCTGTTCTAGTTCTGTTCTAGTTCTGTTCTAGTTCTGTTCTAGTTCTGTTCTAGTTTCTGTTCTGTTCTAGTTCTGTTCTAGTTCTGTTCTGTTCTATTCTGTTCTAGTTCTGTTCTAGTTCTGTTCTAGGTTCTGTTTCTAGTTCTGTTCTAGTTCTGTTCTAGTTCTGTTCTAGTTCTGTTCTAGTTCTGTTCTAGTTCTGTTCTAGTGCTGTTCTTGTTCTGTTCTTGTTCTGTTCTAGTTCTGATCTAGTTCTGTTCTAGTTCTGTTCTAGTTCTGTTCTAGCTCTGTTCTAGTTCTGTTCTAGTTCTGTTTCTAGTTCTGTTCTAGTTATGTTCTAGTTCCGTTCTAGTTCTGTTCTAGTTCTGTTCTAGTTCTGATCTAGTTCTTTTCTAGTTCTGTTCTAGTTCTGTTCTAGTTCTGTTCTAGTTCTGTTCTAGTTCTGTTCTAGTTCTGTTCTAGTTCTCTTCTAGTTCTGTTCTAGTTCTGTTCTAGTTCTTTTCTAGTTCTGTTCTAGTCTAGTTCTGTTCTAGTTCTATTCTACTTTAGTTTCATGTTTAGAATCCCATTATAACTTCCATAAACTGTCAAAGGGGTGTGTTCAGTGCAATTAATGACAATAAACGTCAGTATGTGTATTTGTGTTCAGTAAACTCAAAACATTAATCTTGTCAATATCACATCGAGATAAAAATTGCGAAAATTTTCCAAAATTTGCAATCTCCTTTTTTTACTCATTTGCACTATTTGTCATAATAAAAAACTATAGCAGAATTCTTAACATTGATGTCGGTATAAATTTTTTTTTTATTATTGTGATTATTTGAAAAACAAGAGAAGAACAACAATAAAATTCCCCCTCTTGATAAAGAAAAATTAAAACAATGTTTACGGCAGATAAATAAATGAATTAATGTCTTTAGGGTAAATTGTTGTTTTTTTATACATTTATTTATATTTATTTACTTGATTGTCAATTATACATTTATTTACATTTTGTGATTGTGTTTTTTTTTTATTTTAACTTTTTTAATTACTGCTGGATGTGAATGATCAGAGAGTTTTTTCCTCCAAATGTTTAACGGATAAATATATAATATTTAGGTTGCCGTTTAGTTTAAATTACAATTATTTATACATTTGTTTATATTTAAGTGAGTAACAGTTTTAAATTAACATCAAAAATGTTGTTTGATATCTAAAAGTGTTTCCAACTTGTTTTAGTGGATTTTCTGAATAATGGAAAAGTTTTTTTTTTTGTTATTTTTAAAATTTTATTTTTATATTTTTTAATGAGGTGTGTTGTATACCACAAACTTTGATTTTATATTTTTATTATAGTCCGTTCATCCGTCTATCTGTCTATCTTTCCCAAAAAAACGTGTGATTTTTATTATCGTCATTTGAGTGTGACATATAGATAATGTTGTTGTGAGGCTTTTATCATTAACTAATAAATTTTTAATTTTTTTATTTAATTCAACAAAACATTAACACTTCTTTACTGATTTATTTCCATGGCTGGGGGGATTTCTGATAACAACAAATTTTACGTAGTTTAACATTTCTGACAATAACAAACCATTAAATTCACATTTAAGTCCAAAATGACGTAGTATGAGGTATGATTTGCTTAAACAGGGGCTAGAGGAAAGTGATTTCCTTTCATGTTATGACAACTACTTATTTTTGTTAATATAAATAGTTGTTTTTATTATTTATGAGTTTTAAATCGAAAATTTATCAATTTTAAGGTTATAAATTTTAAAGAAGTGAATTATGTGTGAATATAGGTTTTGTTATATATTGTTTTGTAGAAATACATACTGTTAGGACTTTTAAAATTTATAAACAATTACATATATCTGTGTGTGAAGTATTTTTAAATAATTTTCTAAAATTATTTTCAATAATTAATATTAATCATACGTCCGGTGGTATGATTAAGAATTGTAGTTAAGTTTTACTTCAGTTCTAGCTCAGTTCTAGTTTAGTTCTAGTTCAGTTCTAGCTCAGTTCTAGTTTAGTTCTAGTTCAGTTCTAGTTCAGTTCTAGTTCAGTTCTAGTTCAGTTCAGTACAGTTCTAGTTCAGTTCTAGTTCAGTTCTAGTTCAGTTCTAGTTCAGTTCTAGTTCAGTTCTAGTTCAGTTCTAGTACAGTTCTAGTTCAGTTCTAGTTCAATTCTAGTTCAGTTCTAGTTCAGTTCTAGTTCAGTTCTAGTTCAGTTCTAGTTCAGTTCTAGTTCAGTTCTAGTTCAGTTCTAGTTCAGTTCTAGTTCAGTTCTAGTTCAGTTCTAGTTCAGTTCTAGTTCAGTTCTAGTTCAGTTCTAGTTCAGTTCTAGTTCAGTTCTAGTTCAGTTCTAGTTCAGTTCTAGTTCAGTTCTAGTTCATTCTAGTTCAGTTCTAGTTCAGTTCTAGTTCTAGTTCTGTTCTAGTTCTGTTCTAGTTCTGTTCTAGTTCTGTTCTAGTTCTGTTCTAGTTCTGTTCTAGTTCTGTTCTAGTTCTGTTCTAGTTCAGTTCTAGTTCAGTTCTAGTTCAGTTCTAGTTCAGTTCTAGTTCAGTTCAGTTTCTAGTTCGTTCTAGTTCAGTTCTAGTTCTGTTCTAGTCTGTTCTAGTTCTGTTCTAGTTCTGGTTCTAGTTCTGTTCTAGTCTGTTCTAGTTTCTGTTCTAGTTTGTTCTAGTTCTGTTCTAGTTCTGTTCTAGTTCTGTTCTAGTGCTGTTCTAGTTCTGTTCTAGTTCTGTTCTAGTTCTGTTCTAGTTCTGTTCTAGTTTCTGTTCTAATTCTGTTCTAATTCTGTTCTAGTTCTTTTCTAGTTCTTTTCTAGTTCAGTTCTAGTTCAGTTCTAGTTCAGTTCTAGTTCAGTTCTAGTTTCAGTTCTAGTTCAGTTCTAGTTCAGTTCTAGTTCAGTTCTAGTTCAGTTCTAGTTCAGTATCTAGTTCAGTTCTAGTTCAGTTCTAGTTCAGTTCTAGTTCAGGTCTAGTTCAGTTCTAGTTCAGTACTAGTTCAGTTCTAGTCGTTCTAGTTCAGTTCTAGTTCAGTTCTAGTTCAGTTCTAGTTCAGTTCTAGTTCAGTTCTAGTTCAGTTCTAGTTCAGTTCTAGTTCAGTTCTAGTTCAGTTCTAGTTTCAGTTCTAGTTCAGTTCTAGTTCAGTTCTAGTCATTCTAGTCAGTTCTAGTTCATTTCTAGTGCTAATTCAAGTTCTAGTTCTAGTTCAGTTCTAAGTCTAGTTCAGTTTCTAGTTCTAGTTCAGTTCTAGTTCTAGTTCAGTTCTAGTTCAGTTCTAGTTCAGTTCTTATAGTTCTGTTCTAGTTGTGTTCTAGTTCTGTTCTAGTTTCTGTTTAGTTCTGTTCTAGTTCTGTTCTAGTTCTTTTCTAGTTTCTGTTCTAGTTCTGTTCTAGTTCTGTTCTTAGTTCTGTTCTAGTTCTGTTCTAGTTCTGTTCTAGTTCTGTTCTGTTCTAGTTCGGTTTCTAGTTTCTGTTCTAGTTCTGTTCTAGTTCTGTTCTAGTTCTGTTCTAGTTCTTTTCTAGTTCTGTTCTAGTTCTGTTCTAGTTCTGTTCTAGTTCTGTTCTAGTTCTGTTTCTAGTCTGTTCTAGTTTTGTTCTAGTTCTGTTCTAGTTCTGTTCTAGTTCTATTCTAGTTCTGTTCTAGTTCTGTCTAGTTCTGTTCTAGTTCTGTTCTAGTTCTGTTCTAGTTCTGTTCTAGTTCTGTTCTAGTTCTGTTCTAGTTCT